AGACGGCCCACGAGGCCGTCCGAGACTTTTCCCAGCTGGGCCAAAAGAGCCCCGAGAGCCTCCCTAGACGATGCGATTTCATATGCAGGGTCGGTCCCAGTGCAGGGTGGGTGGGTGGCAGGAGCGGGAAGAGACAGAGCGGGGGGACTGCCGCCAGCGAGGCACCGATTGCGAGAGGCGCGCGCCAGATTGCAATGACTCCGACGGGGCGCGAAGAGGCCGACCTGTCGGGCGGCTCGAGGGGGCGAGTGCGGTGGTGGCTGCGACAGCGGTGGCCAGGCACCACAGCGACCAGCCTGAAGGACGAGTTTAAGCAGTCGCTCGAGGTCGCGCGTTGCCCATCGCCGCTCGCGCCTCGGAGGCGGTCCTCCGAGCAGCACGCCTCGCGCGTCCCCTGCGCTCGTACCTGCCGTCCGGCTGGTCTCCCAGCTGTGTTGAGGCTCGGCGTGTGTGCAGCTCGTGCTCGACTGTGTCGCGTGCTGTGCACATGTAACGTTCGCGCTCGTCGGACGTTCTTCTAGCATCTGGTCCAGGATACATCCCCATTTCGCCATGTCAAATTCTGGGTTGAAATGGTTCATCACCGCATCTTGCCCATACACCTGGAGTAGTTCGGTCGCATGCCTACTGCATGATGCTAAGTACACGGTGCCAGGGTGTGTCAGCAGGCGTTTCACGTGCCGCATGATGTGATGTTGGGCCGTGTGTGTTGGAAACATATGCCAGGCAGACCATAGCGCAGAGTGAAGCGTAGCATGCGTTCTGGTCTCATTGTTGTGTTGATTGCCTTCTCACGTGTAGACTTGAGCCGTGCGCTAACAGATCGCTGCGATGGCCCTTGCTACCTTGGCAAACGCCAAGTGTAGCCGTCGGTTTCCTCATCTTCCTTCCGAGCCATAGCATCTAGCGGTCTTCGGCCCATCCTGCCAGCGTACTCGGGTCGTGGACCCATACGGTTTGGAAGCTTCTGTGGGGTTGGGCTTTTTAGAGACCTTCAGGATTCCTCATCGTATTGGGAGCCTCCTGGGGGACCTCTTGGGAACCTCGCTGTGACGTGCTGGGGGGTGGGGGGCTCCCAGGGCAAGTTCTAGGTTCCCCTCTCGGGCCTCTCATTGGGCCCACTTGGGGGCCTCTTGGTTTGCTAACGGTTGATGTTGGGCGTGCGTTTCCCCTCAGCACGTGTTTCAAGACGGCTTACATGGGACTCCAAGATGCCCAGGGGGCCTCGACAGCGAACCATCGGGCCCCCAAGGTGGACCTCGAGGGGTCTTTTCTCGCGCCTTTCCTCCTCTCCAGGATGCCATCCTGCCCGCATCTCCTGATTCCATATGGGCGACCCCCAAATACGCAGTCGCTTTCGCCGACATTGGCGCGTACATTGCCCGCTGTAAGCGCCCTCGTCTCCAATGTGGCGTGTCGCGCTGGCGGCCCGCGCGAGTTGCGGCGTAAGTTCGCTGTGCCATCTCGCGTGAGACCTGTTCCTGATCGTCGTTCATATCCTCTCCCGTCCTCCGGCTCCCAAGGCCCTGTCCAGACCTTCTTTGTCTGGCGTGAAAACTGTATGATACTGTGCACGCGTGCCACATGTTCATTGCTTGCGGCATTTAGGGGCCTGCTGTGGAGCCTCCTGGGGCATCGTCGGGCCTCATGGGTGCCTCTTGGAGGCCTCTTGGGTTCTTTGCATGGGATGCTCAAACTGTCCTGCACCGTGCTGAGGCGTCTGCGTGGGTGGTGGGGCTGTGTCGGCGACTCCCTTGGCAACCTTGGTGCACTGTTTGGTCATTTGTGACACGTGCTGGCTTGCCGTGAGACCGACATGAGCGCCGAGGATGACAATTGCAGGGGGAGGAAACGGGAGAACAGGACACACACACGCACACACGTTCACACACAAACACTCACACGCACGCACACACACACACATGTTCTGGCGTCGCGGCCCTGCGCGCAGTGACAGGGCGGGCGCCAGAGCTCTCAGACGCACCAACACACAAACACACGCGCGCACACCAGCGCATCAGCACATGTGAAACTGTGACCAGGCAGCAATATATAAAGAGTGTTTTGCAATGGGCTACAGCTTACCCCTGCATATTCATACAAGTAGTTGTTTGCATGTTCGGGGGTCGGGAGCGAGGCTTCGAACGCAAATCTGTGGATCGCGCCAGGTCTTCAGTGCCCTTCACTCCTGGATGCTCGTTGCACCTATCTCTTAACACTTTTACAAGGGGTTCTTGCGTGCACCTATGCCAATAATCATACGTGTGATGTCATTCATGATGCGGGTGTCAGCACGTGCGGCCTACGTCTGGCTTGCAAGCAGGAGGACCAGCATATACCGATGCCCACTCACAGAGGCTCTTTGTGACCCTCGCTCCCATCACCAAGCCAGACGTTGGAGGGAAACATATTCCAGTCGTGAGGTACACTGGTCGTGTGTGGGCAGAGTGCGCTGTTCGCGCGGCCGCAGGTCATACAGTCGAAGCTGAGAAACGACCAGGCCTGCCAGTGGAGGAGGAGTGCGGCAGGAGGGAGGTTCTGCCTCCTCTTTGGGTGCTTTCGCCAGGGCACCAGCCGTAGTTTACCGGGTGGCCTGCCGAATCAGACCAGGCCGGCCCAGCCTCATCTGGGCTGGAAGGCTGAGGCATTGATGTAGGCAGATCGGACGCATTCGAACCCTACTCTCGCCCGTCCACGGTTCAGGTAAGTCGATGGGCGGCCGGGGTAGGGTTCGCATCGCCGAACACGGCGAAGTCCGAGCCCTACCCAACCTCCCATCGGCTCATGAGAATCGTCGGTTGGTGGTGGTAGGGTTCGGATGCTGCCACCTAACGGAGTCGGGTACGCTCAACTTTGAAGTCGAACGGTTGCGGCCTGGCTGCAAGAGATGGTTCACCACTGCCAGCCCAGGGATAGCTAGTAAATCTGCGCAGGCAAGTGGATACGATCAACAGCGTGCCAGATCCCGGTGTGAGCCACATGCGGCGTTTGCATGGTACGAGGCAGTGAGCCGCTCGAGCGGAGCTGATAGCCAGCCGCGCTTCTGCGCGGATCCGCCAGGCGCATGCTTGAAGGGGCGCCTGGGGGAGGTTTGGGAGGCCTGGGGTCAGGGGCAGTGTCGGGGGGGGGAGGGTGAGGGGGGGATTCATCGACCCCCAATCCCCCATGCATCGCCGATATGCGATACAGACTTGGTTGCCCACCCTGCCCAGGAACGTGTGCGGATCCGCTATCGAGGGCACATCGCCGATCTTTCGGCGATTAATGGCCGATGCCAGGTCGATCTTTCCCCCCTGAGCCAGTCTCTCTGTCGTGAGCCCCCCATTTTGGGGGCGGGCTGGTGGGGGAGGCGTAAGGGGGCCGATGGAAGGCTTCATTCAGGATTCTGGTGTTGATGCTGACAGTAAAGGCAATGACCGAGTGTTGGGCTCGATGCGTCTGGGGACATCTTACGTTTTTGGGTGAAGCGAAGGAGTGCGACATTATCACTGCGGGGGATAATCGCTGCGTTGGACGTCCTCGTGGTGCACTATCCGCTGGCCACGAAGAAGCAGGGGGGGCGGGACAGAGGGAAAGTACAACATATTATAATGCTGCGTTCTTTGTGCGGCGTTCTTTGGGTGCTGGGTTGGCAGGTCGCCTTGCAGGGCGACATGCGTGCCAAACACGCAAGCCTCAGGGAAGGCTGGCTTGCTCATCAGGTGTGAAGCGTCGAAAAGCCGCCCTCGCCGTTTGCGGCTGCTTTGGATGTTTGCTCCGGCGCCTTGGTCACTGGACACCCTGCTTTTCCCCCGTCCAATCCTACGTCCTGCCCCCCCATTCCGTCCCCATTCCTCCATCGCCCCTGTCGCCCCTCACTCTTCCCCTTCCACAATTACTCAATATGAATACTACTCTCCCTCTTCCCCTGATGACGTCTTGGGAGTGTTCGCCCCCCCCCCCCCCCCGCGTATTGTTTTTTTTACACAGGTTTCCCCGGAGTTGGGTTTTCGCCTGCATTTGTTTCCAAAATGCTGCTCTCGCTGAGGCGCCGGCCTCATTTTCGGGCCCCGCTCGTTCCGAATCGTGCTCCGGCTGCAGCGCTGGCCTCATTTCCGCCGGCGCCCTGGCTGCACGCCCGAGCCGGCGCCCGGGCCGGCGCTCGGGCTGGGTCCAGAGCCGGTTCCGGCCGGCGCCGAAAAAAGGCCATTCCAATGCACATTTTTTGAAAATGCTGAATTTCTGCTTCCGGCGCCCAGGAGGCCTCCCGGGCCGATTCTGACGCCCCCTGAGGTATGTTAGATCTTGTTATAAGAACGGTTACTATAATAAAACATAGGTTCTTATTATAAGACATACGTTCTTATATGAATATGATACATGTTTTTGCGTTGCATGTTCGTGTATCCTGCGTTGATGCGTTGTACGTTGCTTCGCATGCGTTTTTAGTGATGTGCATGCACTTGCCTGCGCAGTCGTCGTCGTTATCGTCGGCGGAGGTCGCGTAGTCCCTCCTCGTCGTTCGTCCTCGTTGTCGTGATCGTTGTAGTCGTCTGTGTCGTCTTCGCCGTTGTCGTCGTCGACGTCGTCTCAATCATCGTCGCCGACGTCGTCGTCGTGAGCGTCGGCGTTGTCGTCGTCGTCGTCGTGAGCTCTTTTGAGCTCTCGCGCCGAGCCCGCTCGGCGCGGCCGCGCCGCCGCAATGGCGGCGGCGGCGGCGTCATCGGCGCGGCCGCGCCGCCGCGGCAAGGAGCTGCGTGACCGTTGTCCGAAATGAGGGGTAGGAGGGGCAGCGGGGATAGGAGCAATACGGATCGGGATTAGAAGGATCTTAGAGAGGATTACAGGATTGGGAGGGGCATGCGAGGTGATAATGAATGAGGGACATGATGAAGACGAACGTTCGATTCCTTGCTCACTCGAGTGAGCAAGGAATCGAACGAAGAAAGGATGAGTATGATACGAAACCTAGGATGTGGATAGCAAGTAAGGAATACAACATCAGGAATGACCAGCAATTTATTAGAAGCTAGGGGACGGAACGATAAGGGATGGCAGTGGGGTAGGATTGATGTCTTTAGATTGGTTGAGGTTGGATGGGTGGGACGGGATTGCGCGCGCGTCTTCAGCCAGCCAGGTGATGCGATGGATGTTCTGCAACGGCACTTGAATTCGCCAGACGACCTGAACTATGCAACCGACATGGAAAGTCTGCCTGATGTCAAGCTTCTGAAGAAGCACGAGCTGTTCATAAAAGAAATGCGCGGCGCGGTCGTGCTGGTCCAGGGCCCCATTGCGCAGAAGCCGCTCGCACATATGTTAGAAGGTTTCGCGCTCGAGCGCGAGGGGTCCTGGAAACTTGCAGGCCAGAGGCGTCAGTGGGCCAGGGAAAAAAAAAAACAACAATGATAAGAGCTATGCTGCGCCACGTCGACCAGGGGCTCCTGAAATGTCAAGGTTCGCCGCCCGACTTGCTGAAGTCGTTCGCGGAAGCGGATCAGAAGGCGCGAGGGAGACGTGGAAATAGGATGGAGGGATAAGGAGGATTAGCAAATATCGGTGGGGGGGGGGACAAACGGATGAGAGGATAGATGAGGACGGATGCCGTAGAGAGTCTAGTTGTTCGGGCCGCGCTCACTCACCTGCCGCCCACCACTGACACCAGTTCATTGTCATTCTCCGTGCCCCTCCCTATCCCCGCAGGCAGCCGACGCGCAGAAGAAGGATTGGAGCCACAGCTGGAGCGAAGAGATGGGGGTGACCAGGGTTCTGAAGCGCGACGGCGGCGGCGACGATCCAACGATATGACGGCGGCGGTTGCGACGCGCGGCTGGCGCTGCCTGGCGACGACGCGTGAAACGCAACGATTGCGCATGCACGAAAAACACAATGTCATGTCGCGTCACAAACAGCAAATCACCGACATCATACAAAACGGGCATGGTCTGACGGTCAGCCGAACAAGCATCATGCAACGAACGTCGCAAATTCACCGCGAACTCACCGCGCACTCACCGCAAACTCACCAACAATTCACCGCAAACTCACCGACAACTCACCGATTTATCATTGCAAACACACGCATTAAATGCAATGCAAACTCACCGCAAACTCACCGCGTACTGACCGCCGACCCATCGCGCACTCTCCGCAAACTCTCCGCGTACTCTCCGCCCAGGCTGCGTTCCGCGCGAAGGAGAGCGGCGACCCGCCCGACTACTGCCTCCCGCTGAAGAAGGGCACGGCTGGCCTCGCGGACCCTGGTCGCCGCCTGGAAGGGCGGGGCTAGCTGGGAAGTGCCGGGCGAGCTCGGGGTAGGAGTACAGGAGGAGGAGGGTCAGTGATGAGCAAGAGGAGGGTGAACGTAAGCAGTATATTTCTAGATTACCAATCACTTGTGGAGGAGGATTGGAACAGGTAGTCAGCATGAGGGCCAGGAGGAGCAGGAGTAGAGTGCGGCCCAGGGCACAGCGGGAAGGGAGGGGTCCCACAGAGGGAGGGGGGTGCGGAAGTGCACGGAGATGCGAACAGCGAGGGGCAGGATGAGTGGCGGGATCGGGGAAACATGAAAGAGGGAACAAGAGAGAGAGAGGGAGAGAAAGAGAGGGAGAGAGAGAGAGAGAGAGAGAGAGAGAGAGAGAGAGAGGGAGAGAGAGAGAGTGTGAGAGAGAGAGAGAGAGAGAGAGAGAGAGAGAGCGAGAACAGAGAGAGAGAGAGAGAGAGAGAGAGAGAGAGAGAGAGAGAGAGAGAGAGAGAGAGAGTGAGAGAGAGAGAGAGAGAGAACAAAAAGAGAGAGAAGAGAGAGAGAGAGAGAGAGAGAGAGAGAGTGAGAGAGAGAGAGAGAGAGCGAGAACAAAAAAGAGAGAAAGAGAGAGAGAGAGAGAGAGAGAGAGAGAGAGAGAGAGAGAGAGAGAAAGAGAGAGCGATAGAGAGAGGGAGAGAGAGAGAGAGAAAGAGAGAGAGAGAGAGAGAGAGAAGAATGAGAAAGAGAGAGAGACGGCACAGCGAGGATAATATATAGAATGGGCGAGGCGGCGGGAGAGAGAGCGATAGACCACGCAGAAATTGGGAGAGGGAGAGTGGGAGAGAGTCAGAGAGAGAGAGAGAGAGAGAGAACGCATCGAGACCAGAAGACTTCTGTTATTCGTGCAGCTCCCCGCGCGCGACGATTGTTTCGATGGTAACTGCAGGGCACGCACGACGCGTTATGTTGGAGTTCCAGGGTCCACCATCAGAGCCCAGCCCCCAGCACCCCAGTAGCTAAAACACACCAGTAGCAGAAGACTATCAGCACTTCAAACATCGTCGTCATATCGCGCCTGGCGCCATAGGCTTGACGTGGAAGCTCTACGAGGCGCAGGCCGAAGAGGGCAAGGGCAGGAAGGCCGACAATACGTTCTGGAAGGGCGAGAACGCGGGCGGCTTCAAGGTCAGCCCGACTGGGGGAGAGTGCGAGGATGACGAAGTGGATGGACGGAGGCATGGCGATGGCGATGATGGCGACCAGGAGGGATGGCGGCA